AGCTTCTATTCTACTCTGGAGAATTATGTATTTTGAACACAAATTACTGCCGTTATAAAATCCTCTTGCAGATTGGAGAGGGAAATTTTATGCAAAATGCTTTAAATTATGAGTGTAAATGTTTTGATTGAAAATAAGTTGGAATAATTTTAAATTGAAATTAATGATTGTCAATGAAACTTATTACCAAAAGCAGAGGAAAATGAACAACAGAAAATACTTTTTAATATATAACAAAATATTAATTGAAATTTTGTTGATATAATTCGAAATTCTCGTTTAATTTTATTAGTTTTTGCATAAGTATTTCAGAAGCTGTTTTGCGTTTGCTTAAATTGGGCTTACACAAACAATTTGGAAATTCCGGGAAATCAATATTTTTTTTTTCATAATTTGCCGATAGTTAAAATCATATGAATTTTGAAATTTTGATTCGAAAAACAGCGGTATTATTTCTGGCTTATATGCTTGGAGATCTTCATGAGAAGAAAATGTTGAACAAAATTAATTGAAATGAAGTCATGCAAAACAAGGATCGACAGGAAATTTGCAAGAATCAGGAAAACTCGGTAAAGTTATTTTGCGGAAATTTCAAAGAAAATAAAAAGAAAGTTTTTAGTACAAAAACCACCTTTCTAACTTTATCTTCAACAGATACTGAGATCTGATTTTTAAAGTTTTAATTTGAATTGCGACCCTTTTGCTTACGAATTTCAATTTTTATTTTTAATAGTTCAGTGTAAAAAATTCCATGGACCAGCGTCAGGTGGTGGTCGTGTGTGTACAAAAAATAAAAAAATTATCATTTGAACCGTTTGCAAGTCGAACTGGGAAGCCCCTGATGGGCAAAATTTATTTGCAAATGTGATCGAGTCGCGAATGGCAAATTATGTAAATTTGATTTAAAGCCAAACAAATTTTCATATTAATTTTGTTGGCGTTTTCCATTTTCCGGCTAGAAACAACCTCAATAGAATTATTATTATTTTTATGCGCGCGTGTACGAAGCAAATTCGGGGCATATAATGCGAATGACAAAGTTAGTTTCGCGGCTGCGGCGCGGCTAATGTGGCAAAAGTGAAATCTCGTGTAAAAGGCAAAGCTAATACCTTGCTCAAATATTTACGGCCGCGTTGCCGAGCTGCAAATTTAATTGAATATAATGTTTTCGGCTTCTCCTCTTTCTGCCGGTGTGCGCCGCAAATCCGAGACTTTTGCCATGGCAAAAAAAAATCCAACTGATTAATTAATCATGAGAGAGAGTAAAAAAGCGACTATACTTTTGCGCAGCAGATAAGTCCAAGGGAGGAGCCTCTCGCCCTAGCAACTCGCCCAGTAATTTTAATTATAAATCACCCACACGAACGCCAGGGAAATATGAAAAAAAAAACGACTGCAGAGCAATAATTCACGAGAGGGGCCATTCTTTTGTCTCGTCTTTCATATTTAAAGTGGCCGGTGGAATCTCTTTCGCGCGGTTCTCTCTTCATTGTTGGACGTGGAAAAATGCGCCATGGCCGAGCGAGTTTTTTTTTTATTATTATTTCCATATATATTTTCTCTCACACAACACGCACGCAAGCAACATCCGTCTGTACATTAATAATGACGGCAGAAAATAAAATGAAAATTTTAATCCGCCCCCGGCTGGCCGGTGATTTTTCAAAAGGGAAGAAGATTTAAGGCTGCAATCGGAACAAACAACGAGAGGGAGTTTTTTTTTCGCACCTTTATTATACTCTGACGCGCAAGGTTGGCAATTCTTTTTTGCCTCATTCATTATTCAATCCATTAAATTTATCACGCGCTTGCTCTGCAATTCGAATTTTCGACGCTGCCTAAATATTTGAATGACAAAAGGAGGCGAATTAATAATTTCAGTCCGGCCGAATAAATTTGTTGTTTCATCAAATTATAACGTCGGTCGGTCGGGTCGGTCGAAGCTTTTTGCTCGCCCACCCGCTCGCCATCAGCGTGAAACTTTCATTATTCGCCGTGATTTAATTATTTAAGAGGTGTTGCGAGCTGCCTATACGCGCGGCGCCGAACAAAAGATTGCAGCTGCGGAATTTTGAAAGGATTGATTTTCACGCAGCCCGACACAGCACGGCGCAGATTTACGCGGAAAATGAGAGCCCAACAAAACACCGAGATTATTTCCAAAGCTTACCCAATTCAAAATCCTAGTCTATTGTTGTCAAGCTTTCATTACATTTTTAATTTAAAGTGCTAGGCCCTTTTATCTTTTAGGAGTATACATGAGTGATTAAAAACCCACAAACACTGTACTAAATAAAAAATAAAAAAGTCTTTACCTTGACGTTTTGAATTTAATTTTACCACGACGAAGTATTTGCAAAGGAAATTTTATTGGATTCATGACCTGGGAAATTATGTTCCTTTAACAGACGAAAACGTTTTTAATATTTTTACTAGAATTCCTTTACATTCTACCTATTTATTTACTAATTAATTTTATTCAATGTCCTTACTATATGAAAGAAGGGGAAAAATGTTCATTGAAATTAAATTCAATTAATTGATGCATTTCTTTTCTTCTTAGCTTATGGAGTGCTTTTATATATGTATTATAATTGCACTATTGTAACTCATCCACTCAGGAAAAGAAAACATTTAAAAGATATCATATCTGCAAATTAATAATAAAATTAAAATATATTTTTATATTTATTTAATAATTTTAATGTAAATTTAATATTTAGAAATATTATACACTTTCATGAAGATAAAAAAAGGGAATTTAACAGCTATTTTATAATTCCTTAGAACCAAATTCCAATTAAACTGATAGTAACGAGCTATTTACTGTTAAAAATTATTTTAATCCTGTTCCAAACATATCATTTTTATTTTCCTTTGAAATTTTCTAACATTGAGATGATTTACAAAAATTAAAAATGGCACCTAAAGCTAACAAATAATTTTAGAAATATTCACTTAAAAATTTTTGATGATAATTATGCATCTGCTTCTATCTTAAATTCAAATTCATTTGATATTCCAAGTATTCAAAGCAAAAGTTACCGATCTATTTGTCTCATTGCATAATGCATCATTATTTATTAATCAACAGATTTTGAAACGAGTAGGGATTCTTAATAAAATTTCAAGTTAAAACAAGACCAAAATTTTGAAACTTTCTCCCACATTTTGATACAAGTAGATTATGGCACGTAATTTCCTCTCCGATTGCTACAATTATCTCAAAAGAGTATCTGTGTTAAAAAAAACCATCGCAGTTGGATGTCCAAAAGGATTTCTTCCAAATTTACAACCCCCTCAAATAGTTATATTCCACTGTTGGAAAATCCTAATGAAATATTTAGCCTCTGCGAAAGATTATCCACAGAGGCATAAATAAAAGCGACCCCAGCGAAAAAGCGCAATTGCGTTTTCAGATTGCGACGTGCGGGCCGGCGTGACAAGACAGTGCTGTACTGCGGCGGCAGGCTCCATTATTTATGCCGTCATAAAATAGCCATGAAGAATCTCCATTAATTTCACTCGCGTGTACCCCAGATATGAGTAATGGAAGCAGCACCCGCGCTAGTAAACGTCGCATATTAATCAAAAGTACCTCAGGTGCACTTACAAGGAACACAACAAAACCTTCAGTTCGCCAATTTCAACTAAATTATTTGCGAGAGTTGACAGAAAAAGAGATAGAAACGATGAAAAACGCAAATGAAGTGGGCAAAATTCATGCATATAAAACTACCCTCTTGAAATTTGAAAGAAAATACCAATGTTGCCTTATCATTTCTATTTCATATCAATTTTGAATGCCACTTTATAAATTTATTTTGTGTATATGAGAAAAATTATGATTAAAAAGTGCTTATTTGTTCTCACACAATAGGAGCTAAAAAAATTTGAAAAAAACAATAAATGCAGGAATTAAAAATTTAGGGAAAAAAATAAAAAAAATCTTCCCAATTATTTTCAATTTCATATACATTTTACCTTCTTCTGTAAATTCCGAATAGATTTTTTTAAATTAACCTTGAACCACTGCCCGTGTAATTTTAAATAAGGATTTTAGCAAAATTTTATCACCAGATTACAACCAATTCCAATTTGATCATTGATCGGTTACAAATGATTTTCGTACGTCTTTGGCCTCATCAATCTGGGCTTAGTGCGTAAAAGGACGCAAGATGGCGGCCCCTCTAATAAATAATCCTTAATTAAAGTTTAAAAACGGGCGAGGCGTAATCCGGAGGGCGCGCGCGGGGCTAATCCGGCACGGGGCGCTCGTAAATTTTTCCGAGGCAAGGAAAATAAAATAATAAAAAAGCAGCAGTGCGCGGCTGGGCAACCGGCTTTAATATAAATTCAAAGTAATGCCGTTTTTTAATTCCCTCCAGTGCGCGGAGCCATAAGACTACTTTATTATTTCGAGAGAGTGGTGGTGGTGCTGCTGCTGGGTGTGGTGCAGTGCGGCGGCGGCCTTTGCTCAAAGCTTTTTGCAGCCATAAAAGTAAAGGCTCGCGTGCCAAATGGAAGCGAGTGAGTGCTGCTGCTGCTGGAGCTACGTTCTCCATTAACGTGTGCATGCTAATGAGAGAATTACCATTCGAATGGCGAACGCGCGCCGCGCCCTCTCGCACCCGAGCCGGCAGCCCTCATTAAGGAGCAGACCCTTTGCTCTCCTGCAGAATTTCCCTCTCGCCACGAGACGTTTATTTTTATCTCCTGCCTCGGTTGATTGCAAAGAAGTGAAACGACCAGAGATCATGTTTTTTTTTCTTTAGATTCTATACTTTGTGCTAAAATAAGGATCTTTAACTGCTTCATTATTATTTTTTCTTTCTTTCAAATATCCATGTTTGTACTTAAAACAAAAAAGTTCCACTTTTTTCACATAAAATGGAAAACAGAAAGATTTTTTTGAGAATTTTTGTCTTCATGAAGCTCATGTTAAAAAACATCACCATAATATTTTACAATCATTAATTTTATTTTATTTATGACCACATTTTTATACAAAATAAAATTTTTTTGAAAGAAAGGCTCCAACGACTAGCAATGATTTGTTAAGACTTCCAAGATAAAAAATCCACATCCATTACAGTGAGCCTTGGTTGACTTTTTATTTTATCCTTCTTACACTTCTTTTAAATGGAAGATTTGTATGATATATTGTGATGAATTAACTGACGTTACGAAATATTTATTAATTAATACATTTCAATTATTCCTCGCTTTGTACCATTTGTTTGTAAACCAAAGGCCGAGCATCAGCTCTATTATGTTGGCTAAAAAAAAAAGATGTCTTCCGCCCGAGCCATAAGGCCCCATGGCTCTGACGGCAGCCGTGAAACAAGTGCTAAGTGAACACAACTTCTATGACATACACGAATACTTACTGTGCAGTTTTGACAAGTGAAATTTCTCGCGCTATAATCCTATAGTTTTTTCCCTTTGCCCTAAGCAACGGGTTTTTTTCTCTAAATTTTAATTTTAGACCTGACATGTTCTAAAGACTACTGTTAATATTCTTGTCTAACAGAACAACAATAAAATTGAATTGAATTGAATTGAACATAATTTTGGGATGCGCAGCCTTTGTTGTAAACAAAGCCAAGAATGATAATAATATGACATCAAATTTTTATAACATCATCACAGACTTCTAAACTTTTTATGAATAATATTAGCATTGATGTTTATTTCTCTATAATTGTTGCGAAATATATTATTCTTGTTGAATCATTTCATTTTATTTAATTTAAGTTTATTTCACACACCAATTTTTTGGTTTAAGAAATTAACGAAAACCGAGCGCCCACCGAAAGAAGTGGTAAGATATAGAAAGGTTATTTCTAGAAACACAGGTTTGTATCTTTTTTTGTTCCTTTTAATAGTAAAGAAAAAGAAGTCAAAGCAATCAGCGTGTTTTTCGACAGGGCCTGACCGTGACACGTTCTGTATACCAGATTAAACATTAATTTTCAATTGGGCCCGCTATTCTGGCATGTCTATTAAAATATGTGTGGCATGCAAACAAAATTACACAATTTTGCTAGTTTTTTGTAAGATATTTTCAAATTAACGGAAAATATAAATATAAAATGTTTTTTTCCACTGAATTAATATTTAATTAAAACAAAGCTTTTGAAAATTCTGTGTCATCTAAATTTTTGGAATCTTAACGTTGTCAATAATTACTGTTTGTTTTCTGTTTCTTGAAATACAAATGCACAGCACTACGACAATGATAATGAAAGCAGCAACTCCAAATACGCATCCAATAATTTCAGGATATAATTGCGGCTCTTCGGTAGATGGCATTTTTGCTGAAAAGAATTAATACAGTATTTATTTTAGCACAACTTTCTTGAAGTTAAAAAGTAAAAATTTTCACTTGTTTTGAACAGAGTTCAACTGATTTGACATCATTAAAGCATTATTAAAATGATCAGAATAATTAAACTTAAATTCGAAATGTATCTTGACGATTTGAACCATTTTCTGCATGATAAAAATATTTATAAAAAAAATTAAATTTTAATACAAGTTTTTAACAAAAATATCCGCACTTTTAGGCTCATAATTGGTGTACGAATATATAAATTATGTGTGATTTATTTGGGAGAAGTAATTGCTTAAGGATAAATCAACAAGGACACTAAGCAACTATAATTTTTTCTGTAAGAGATTCTTGTACAAAAAAATTAAAAAAAGTTTGGAAACATCAAAGGATTTAGTATTGCAAAATTTCATTTCTAAAATTTTTAAATTTTGCTGCAAAGACCTACTAGGATTTTGAGTAACTTCAGTAAGCCATTTTTTGATAAAGGGATTTTTTCTTGGAAAAATATATCATCAATGCTTAATACAGTTTGGAATTTTAATATTTTCATTTGCATGAAATATGACACGATTTTAAAATCCCTTTACCTCGCTAAAAGTTGTTACCATCTATTACAATATCCATTTATTTGAAAATATGTATACGCACCATGCTTATTGCACCAGTTATTTTTATTTTCTTTGCATCTTTCAAAATGTAAAGTACGATTTTGTTTGCATTTGCAAGTGTAATTGTTTGTGGCTGCATCACTCACATTGCAATACTCAAAATCTAATTGTGGCAAAAGGCAATCATCGCAATGGTCTTGAAAACAATTATCTGCAATAAGGAAAATAATTATTCGAGTAATTGTTGGCTAAGATTATTTACCAGCAAAAATGTTATAGTTGTTTGCGTCAGGCTTCAAGTCCCAATGTGATTTGTTTTTTACACAACTGCTTTTATTTCTTGCTTTGCAAAAGATCTCATCGCAAGTCAAATTTAAATACTGTGTTTCATTTTTATTATTGAAATTGTCAATTAATTGAAGAGATATCAGTTTATATGTGGTGCAAACTGCAAGATAATTATTTACTGAAAAAACTCTGCGAATTAATAAACTCGACTAAAACTTACCGTTTGTTTGTTTTCCTTGAGCCAAAGTTTGAATGGAAACAAAAATTAGGGCAAGAAAAACAGAATCAAAGTATTTCGGTAAGCCTAGAAATCCTCCCATTGTAAGACACACACTTGCGAGTGTGAAATTCTCACAATAATTTTAACCGCGTGACGCTATTAGCCTTTTGAAAGCTGGCTGGTATGCCAAGAAAACATATTCACAAGCAGGATGTCAATCTGACGATAGTGAAAAGATTAACTCATGTTTCTATTTTTATAAAAGGAAAAATATTTATCAAGGAAGTTACTTATCAAATCTTGCTATCAGAACTCAGAACTATAAAAGCAAGGATTAAATAAGGTTTTTTCAACACAGAATACAGTCTATAAAAAAAGATAAAATAATAATAATAAATCTAGAACAAATTGGAAAGAAACATTGACTTGGTCCTAAAATTTATGACTATATAAAATCAAAGTTGGTAATTTCCAGCACTTGAAAATCTGATAAGACAAAATCAATTTTTACAGGAACTTTTATATGGATTGGCTGCATTTAACTTCTTCCTTGCCATTACAATATAAAATGCAGTGCTTAATATTTTTTTCGTTCAATTAAGACTTATTTTATTTCAAAGTAAGCTAATTAATTTTTTGTATCGTCACCTGCAAATTATTTTGAAATATTTAGTGGTTCAGTCAAGCTCAATGAACACTACAGCAGAAGATTGAACCAAATTAATATAAAAGCATAATTATCCTTTGTTTCTAGGGTGTTACAAACTTGTTAAAAAATTAAATAGAGGAAGAAATTTAATTTATCCGCGAATTCTTTGCTCCATCAAGGCAGGGCTTGGAAAAAAGGCGCCGGTGTTTGGTGCTGCGTCGGCCGACTTGCGAGTCACCGGTTTTACCCACGCAGCAACATTTTTTGTGCGCGTTCGCTTGCGGTTTTCTCATTTCCTTTCTCTAACTTCATAAAGTTGAGAATGAAAAAAAAATTTATTTATATCACTGAATTTTAAAAATAGTGTCAGTTTTGCTTTGAAGAGAAACTTAATTAAAATTTAATCAAATGTTGAAAATTCTTGATTCAGCGCCGCTGCATTGATTTGACCGCAGATGGGATTAATCAAAGATGGCAAGTGACATTAGGTAAACAGGTGCCTGTGGAAAGGAGCAACACGTCCGTCCGTGGCTCATTATGTGGTCGCCGGCCGCGACAATGAGCACCCTTCTCACCCTTGCGCGCGTTCGTTGCTAAGTGGCCTAGGCCTACAATGGGGATGCTTTTCGGAGATAGGGTTAAGACGAGTTCTTCCCTTTGTCGCGGTCCCCTCGTCTCGTCTCGCCGCCACGGCACGCGCCCCAGTTGCATCTCATTCTTATGTAGGCAGCCAGTCAAACGGCCTATGCGCCACCCCTCGCGACGAAACTCAATCCTTCGCGGCCACTCGACTGGAAAATGCCTCGTGCCGCTCGTCAAATTGTCTTCACCTTCCTTCATCATCACCGCATTCCGTATTAATTAATCTCAAGAAACCAAAACAATCCAAATCAGAAATGCAATGCATTAGAAATTTCAGCCAAAAGAACCAACTTTGCTCGAATTTTCTGTAACTTTGTCTAAATTTATTCGCAGGAATTTCATGGAAACGGTGAAAGTCTATTTATAAGCAAGATAAGTAAAAATATTTATTTCAGATGAAAATGAAAAGGAAAAATAGAAGCCAAATTAGAAATTTTTAAATACTGACATGAAAGACCACAAATTTTAAAGAGGAAAAAATTTATAATAATTAGTGTGGAAGGAAAATGTGTTTTTCAGACGAAATAGAAGAAAAAAAATGAACATATTCATTAAATAAAAAAAGGCCGTTGTAATTATAAGAAATGTATGATTATGGAATCAAATGAGTAAAATTTACAATTTTTTAAATTATAATTTGTTCACTCTTTTATCCAACACTATCATTATTTTTTTTTTTTTCATGTTTTCTGTACCCAAGATCCAAATTTGTACACTTATGATGGGGACCAAAATAGAGAAAGAAAACTTTATATGATCGCATGTTAAATTATTATCAAAATTAAAAAAAATATTAAATGCATGAATTTAGGTATTTAATTCAATACAATTGTAATGCTAAAATATTATTACTTTTATTAAATTGACTTTTATTGCAAAATCGGCGGCTTTGATTCAAATTTAAATCATGATGTATAAGGAGTCAAAAGCAGGCTTACCCAGGGTGCCTTGAAAATACTATAAAAACATATCTTTTCTCAAATTAGATATTTATTTTGCCTTAAAAACAAACAATTCTTGCACATTGGATAATTAAAAAAGAGGCTCTTTGTAAAAATCCGGAAAAATATCTATGAAAAAAATGAATATAAAATACAAAATCTCAGAAATACAAAAAAAATTGAAAATTGATAATTTTTATGAAAAATTGAAAGAAAAAAATGGATTTTTTCTTTTCATTTTTTCTTTGCAACGAGGTTTGCCCGGTTTAAATTTTTCATGAAATCCCCCTCGAGTGTTACCATTCAATGATAATTTTTAGTTTGATTTTTATCTTACTTTAATAACATTAATAATAAATAGCCTATTATTATTTTTTTTAGAATTAAGTCGGGATTAAATTGAAATATGGGAATATAGATACATTACTAGCAGAAATATTCTTGTTATTATTATCCTTTATTGACTTATGGCGTGATATACTTTGACGCTATACTTCGGGCAGGATATGCAATGGTGTTTGGTGGAAAAAAAAACAGAAAACAAAGAAATAAAATTATGATCCAATATAAAAATTATAATTCTATTGATGCTTTTATTTTAGAAATACAAAGAAAATTGACGTGGGTTATATTGAGCAGCCATTTCACAAAGATTTTTACTTACCAAGCTACTCAAAAGGGACAATTTATATAAAATTTATTAAAATGTAATAGCAATTTCAGAGATTTTTATTTCAAAATAAAATTATTTGGGCTTACTATGTTTTTGCAATTAAAATTTTATTGTAGTTTATTTAATTTTCCTAATTGTTACTTCCAACCTTTTTTTGATGCAACTGTTATTTTTATTTTTTATTTGATAAACATTGAACAGTGCAATAATAAATAAATATTTAGAGACGGATTTGATTTCTCGAGATAAATTTCTATATCACGATATCTTGCTTTCTCTTGACGTTAACCGGTTTAATTTAATTTGTATCATTAAACTTTCGAAAAATTTAAGCACATGAAAAATAAAATGAATTAAGATTTACGTGCCGTTCAAAATTGAGGCGAAAATTTTAGAGAAATTCATGAAATTCCATCTTAATATTAATAATAAATTTTTTTTATAAAATCATTTGTAAAAAAAATTTTCAACCGAAAAAAAATTTGCGTGATAAATTCAAATATGCTGATGAAAATAATACTAAAATTGTACAATATTTTTAAATATTGAATCATTTCTTAATTGTCGCACATTATCGCAGGGCTATAATATACGCACGTGCTTGCTACAAATGCGTGTATTTGGAATCGCAGACTCAAATCAAATGCTGATTAGACTAGATGATGACGTGGCTGGCGCGTCAGGGCAATCAAAAATTAATCTGCTCAGCGCGCGATAATTAAATATCAATTTCGCAAGGACACTTTTTGCCGATTGGCGCGATGCTTTTTTAATTGCACTCGATCGTCGCCGCTGATAAATTTATCGCGATGAAATTCGACAGATTTCCTTTTTTTTGCACAATTAAGAAAGAAAAAATGTAAAATCCGGGAGGATTTTTTTTATGTTTTATTTGAATTTTTATTTTATTTCGGGGCAAGTCTTTGAAGTTGGACTGTCGGCAAAAGTAGCGAGATGAGTTTTTGCGAGAGGATTTCGCGAAGAGCGTGTTTTTGGCGTGGAACTCGTTATTTCGTGATGGCTCTTTTGATGTGCATTAAGGTTTCCTGGGTGTACTTGACGTACGTGCAAAGCAATTACGACGCACCGACACAGGGTGGCCTAGCAACAGCAGCCGGCGCTCGAGAGAGAGAGGGAAGCGCCGGAATTTTCTCTCATTTCGAATTTGCAAAAGCGGCTCGAGAGTCGTGAAAATAAAAAGCGGCAGGCGCACCACGTTTAAAATTTCATGCGCCCCTGCACGAATTTCGCAGCACGCGCGCATTAATCTTGCTTTCTGCACGGAATCTAGATTCAAAAAGACCCTCATCGCTACTCCCAACTCTGGCTGGCACCACTGCAATGCTCAATTTTGAATACATTCCTTTGAAATTGCGACGACTGTGCTCAGTCGGACAAATATCAAATTCAAATTTTATTCTCATTTCCTCAAATTTCTCTTGCTTTCTTCAGAGCTATTAATTTTATATTTCAACAGGTATAATTTAATTCTGTTTAGAAATCTATCTCTAGAAAACCAATGTTTATTACACTTCCCATTTTCTGAAAAAAATTTAGCAAATAATAATAATAAAAATTTGGTGCAAGAGAACTATTTTTTATTTAATAAAATATTTTTATTGGAAAAAGTTAGAAGTCAAGCCAGTCAAGCAGTCGAGTTATCGGCCGGTGCCGGAATTAATGTAAATACCATTTCATTCACTTCTTGCATTTTCCATATTTTTCAAAAGATTCCATTTTTTTTTTTATAATATGAGTAGAATACATGCTTGAGAACATTATGTGATTTTAAATTTTAAATTCTACACCAGTTTACGGACAAGGATTGTTTTTTGGTATGCTGATGCACACATTCTTAGATGAACAATTTCTATTTTCGATCTAATTTTAATTTGCTCTGTTTGGAACAAATCTTAATTTCAACAACATTTGTTTCAGATGATCCTGCACATGATGTGGAAAATTAACAGATATAATATTGTCTTCATAGGCGAAACTTCTAGTGGATCAGCGCAATTCCAATGAATAAGGTATGACTAAAATAAATAAATAAATTGAACCGTTTACAATATTTTCTGTTTTTGAATATTCTTAATTGAGCAGACATGGCATGCAAAAATTCTTAAAAATATGAAATACATTTTATGGTGAAAAACGCGCATTGTCTTCCTGTAAAAAATAAGTTGATTGTATTAAAATAAACACAGTTTTAGTCGCAGTCCTATTTCATGAGGAAGTAAATAGAAAAGAAATCAGCAAAATTGAAAAACACATTTTTTCATCAAAATCTTCAAACTATCAAAATTCATCTGTCAACCAAAT